CTTTAGCCTCAAGAATGGTGAAAAATGAGTAAGAGTCGCATGAGGGTCGTTCCTGAGCTCTAAAAGTCAAAAAGTGCATAATGAGATCGTTTAGGGGTTTATTAACGACTTTAATTCGAGTCGGCCCCCGCCAAAGCGGCAAAACCCAGCGCCAAAGCGGCATTCTCGAGACAGAGTTATTTCAAGGATTCCAAAATTCTCATTTCACAACACACCTCTAACCCACAACGCTCAGTAAATACTCTTTACGCTAAGATCGATTTCGGGAGTTCTACTCGCCCGAATTCAATTCTATAAAGTCGTTCGGATTCCTTAACGAGTTTTCTAACTACTCATGTAATCAAAATCATAAATGATTCACCCCCGATTGTTACCAGATTTCCCTACATCTTAATGACTCTGACTTTGTCCAAAACTGGACAAGGTTGGGAAAATCCAAATACTACAAAAAAGTTTTCCGGCCCCAAATTTCCCCCCATTGACTTTTCTATAACGACGGGAACAGATCGTTACATCAGTGGAACTAAAAAATAAAAGAGTTTGAGACTTTGAGTACTTTTTTTATTGATTATTAGCCACACGCAGTGGCTATGAGCATGTGTCTCGAAAGAACGTATTTTTTTTTATAGTGAATGTACCTGAGAGTAAAGATTCAAAATTTAAGCTCTCTTCATACGCTTAAAAAGGGGTCATAAATACATATATCCAAAACAATATTTTCTGACAAAAAATACAAAAAATAAAATTAGAAAAACTATTGCTCAATAGGTAATTAGCATCAATAATAATATGTTTTGTGTTGTTTCTTTTTATATCATTAGCCATTGGATCCTCCGAAGTTGTAATTATTCTAATCACTTCACCACATGTAGAGTACTAGAGTTTAATTTATATGTATTATATTAGATCACTAATAAATTTTAAAAAGAAAGTAATTACAATGAATCTTACATAATTATTAGATTTTGAATAACTAATAGACATCTTTCTTAGTTTTTTATTTTTTTAAAGAAGGTCATGGTATTGAAAACTTGAAAAACTCTTCTTAGATACCTAATAAAAAAAGTTGAGAAAAAAAGGCATAAAACGCATGCGGCGAATGCGATTTATAAATAAGTTTCTCTCTTATTATTTATTGTTGAAATTACTTTATTACATCTTCCGTTCAATTTTTTTGTCCACTATGTTTAAAATATATTTATTTATTTATTTTATTACTTTTATCATATCAAGAAAAGATAATTATTTTTTCTATTTTATACTCAACATTAATTGCATTTTTTTTTAGAATCTCAGTATCTCGATTAGCTACCTAAAATTTAACTTTATCGGTTCGTTTCTTCAGATTGTTAAACCCCTCCCTTGTTTTTCTTTTCACGACCCACAATTTTTTTTTCATCTTTTAAAAAAAGACAATGGCGTTGAAAATTTGAAAAACCTTCATAGATACATAATGGCTAATAGAAAGAGTTGAGAAAGAAAGGCATAAAACGCATTCGACGAATGCGATTTATGAATAAGTTTCTCTCTCTTTTTATTTATTATTGAAATTACTTTATCACCCCTTCCGTTTAATTTAATTTTTCAACTATTTTTAAAATATATTTATTATTTTTATGATATCAAGAAAAGATAATTATTTTTTCTATTTTATACTCAACTTTAATTGCTTTTTTTTAGAATCTTAGTATCTCGATTAGCTACCTAAAATTTCACTTCATCGGTGAATGTTCGATTCTTTAGATTGTGAAACCCCTCCCCTGTTTTTCTTTTCGCAACCCACAATTTTATTTTTCATATTTTAAAAAAAGGTCATGGCGTTGAAAACTTGAAAACTTCATAAATACCTAATAGAGAGAGTTGAGAAAGAAAGACATAAATCACATTCGGCGAATGGGATTTATGAATAAGTTTCTCTCTCTTCTTATTTATTGTTGAAATTACCATTACCCCTTCTGTTTAATTTAATTTGTCCACTATTTTTAAAATATACATATTTCTTTTATTTATTACTTTTATCATATCAAGAAAAAATAATTATTTTTTCTATTTTATACTCAACATTAATTGTTGTTTTTTTGAGAATCTTAGTATCTCAATTGATTTGCTACCTAAAATTTTACTTTATCGGTGAATGTTCGATTCTTCAAATTGATAACCCCCTCCCCTGTTTTTCTTTTCTCGACCCACAATTTTTTATGTTTCATCTTTTGAAAAAAAGTCGTGGCGTTGAAAACTTGAAAACCCTTTATAGATACATGAACAGAAAGAGTTGAGAAAGAAAGGCATAAAACGCATTCGGCGAATGCGATTTATGAATAAGTTTCTGGCTCTTCTTATTTATTTTTGAAATTACTTTATTACACCTTTCGTTTAATTTTATTTGTCCACTATTTTTAAAATATATTTTTTACTTTTATCATATTAAGAAAAGAAAAGATAATTATTTTTACTATTTTATACACAAACTTTAATTGCTTATTTTTTTTTGAGAATCTTAGTATCTCAATTGATTAGCTACCTAAAACTTTACTTTATCGGTGATTGTTCGATTCTCCAGATAGTTAATATCCACCATTTTTTTTACTTTTCTCGGCCCACAATTTTATTTTTTATCTTTTTAAAAAAGGTCATGGCGTTGAAAACTTTAAAAACCATTCATAGATACCTAATAGAAAGAGTTGAAAAAGAAAGACATAAAAAGTATTCGACGAATGTGATTGATGAATAAGTTTCTCTCTCTTCTTATTTATTGTTGAAATTACTTTATTACCCCTTTCGTTTAATTTAATTTGTCGATTATTTGTAAAATATATTTATTACTTTTAGCTAGAGCTGTCAAAATAGGTTTGGCCCACTAGGCCGACCTAGCCCAACCCTTGAATTAAGTGGGGTTGGGCTTAATTTTTTCAACCCATTTAGGAATGAGCCTTTTCAGCCTTAGCCTCATTTGGCCCGCTAGCCTCGTAGGCCAGCCTGTGGGCTGTGAATTTAAAAATATTTATTATATATATTTTAAGTAGTGTTTTATTTGTTAAGATTTTGTCAATAAATATTTTTAAAATATCAATATAAAATCAAGTCTAACTTCTTTGCATATCTTTTACATTTTAGGATCATTATCACACTAAATTTTCTTATTATCCCAAGCCCATTACTCTATTATAACTATGAATCTTTGACCTCTTCTATTTTTGTGTTTACACCTAATTTTTCACTTCTCCTTTATTGTCTTGTTTATGAAAATATTGATCATGTAATGTTTTTTGCTTGGATAAATCTTATGAATGTTGTATCTTGGCTATTATGTTTTTTGTTTTGTAAGTATTCACTGAAGTATGTATAATTCATGGATGAATTTATGTATGTATTGATGTCGTGTTCATCAGACATCAATGTTCGATACTCTCTCTAAGAGACCAATGTTGTGCATTTTTTGGTTAAAGGGCCAATCCGTCCCAACCCGTGACCCACTTAGGATTGGGTTGAGCTGTTATTTTATAAGCCCTTTAATTAAAAGGGTCAACCCGTCCTAACTCATTTAACTCTCTAGCCCGTTAGAGTTGGGTTGGGTTGGGTCAGCCCATTTTGACAACTCTACTTTTATCATATCAAGAAAAGATAATTATTTTTTCGATTTTATACTCAACATTAATTGCTTTTTTTTTAGAGTCTTAGTATCTCAGTTAGCTACCTAAAATTTCACTTTATCGATGAATGTTCGATTATTCAGAATGTGAAACCCCTCCACTGTTTTTCTTTTCTCAACCCACAATTTTATTTTTCATCTTTTAAAAAAAGGTCATGGCGTTGAAAACTTGCAAAACCCTTCTTAGATACCTAAATAGAAAGAGTTGAGAAAGAAAGCATAAAACGCATTCAACGAATGCGATTTATGAATAAGTTTCTATCTCTTCTTATTTATTGTTGAAATTAGTTTATTACCCCTTCCGTTTAATTTTATTTGTCCACTATTTTTAAAATATATTTATTACTTTTAACATATCAAGAAGTGATAATTATTTTTTTTATTTTATACTCAACATTAATTGCTTATTTTTTTGAGAATCTTAGTTCTCAATTGATTAGCTACCTAAAATTTCACTTTATCGGTGAATGTTCGATTTTCAAGATTGTTAATTCCATCCCCCTATTTTTCTTTTCTCCACCCACAATTTTATTTTTTATCATTTAAAAAAGGTTAGGGCGTTGAAAGCTTAAAAAAAACCTTCATAGATACCTAATAAAAAGAGTTGAGAAAAAAAGGTATAAAACGCATTCAACGAATGCTATTTATGAATAAGTTTCTCTCTTCTTATTATTTATTGTTGAAATTATTTTATTACCCCTTCCGTTTAATTTTATTTGTCCACTATTTTAAAAATATATTTATTTCTTTTATTTATTACTTTTAACATATCAAGAAAAGATAATTATTTTTTTATATTTTATACTCAACATTAATTGCTTTTTTTGTTTCGAAAATCTTAGTATCTCAATGGATTACTTAACTAAAATTTCACTTTATCGGTGAATGTTCGATTTTCCAGATTGTTAATACCTTCCCTATTTTTCTTAGATAGTAATATTTCCTTCTTATTTTTCGTATGTAGTTATATTCTCTGTTATTTTAATTTTACACGGTGATTAATTGAATATGAAATTTAAAAGATAATTTATTTTTTTGAGATTTATTAAAATATATTTAAAATTTGTTATTTTGATATTCTATTGCATCGAGAAGAAACCAACAATTTTTTATTGAATTTGTTTTGATTTTATGTTTATTTTTATTATATGTATTTTAGTATTGCTCTTCTTCCTTTATTTTGTTTTGAAAAATGTAAATTTATTATCTTATAATAAAATAAAGAAAAAGCTGAACTAAAAGGACCTATTTAAGTATAAACTTACGAAAATATAATAGTTACGAATTTTTTTGCCTTTTATTTATTTATTTATTTTCATTTCTTTTTTGTCTTTATGTCAATGATAAATAATAATAATAAAAAAAGGTATAGTAATAGGCAGTCCCAATTTGGATCTGAAAGTGTTGTTCTTGGTATAGTTGACCCAATTCTCTTCTTGTGCTGAGTTTGTTTGAAGCTCCGGTGATCTCTTTCTTCTCCGGCGAAATCTACTTGTAAGTGAATTCTGAATTGGTTATCAACATTCCCCAATTTCGATTTTCTATACTTATTTGTGATTTTTACAAGTTATATATGCATTCTTATTTATAATGATCTGCCATTTGGGGTATTGTTAAAACGGAATTAGATCATGAATTTTTTTTCATTGTATTGTCAGATTCAGTTTATGAAATACAATTATTAAGTTTATGGATTCCCTTCTAATGATCTTTGATGAATTGTGGATTTAGTTTCAATTGCTTAAGATCTGCGTTGGTTATTGTGGATCCCCTTCTCTTCTCATAATTATTTTTTATCATTTGCCCGAGTTTTGAGTGGTTGCAACTTGTTACTTCTTGTGCTGGATCATCTTCGTGTCTTGGTCTGGAGTTACAGGTTGTGGCAGGGGTGGAAGATAGCACTATCTGTTTCCTTTAACGTAAACTAAAGGTTATACTACAATCAAACCCAAGAAGATAAAGTGTTTAATATATGAAAAATTGGCACTTTTGGGGTGCTTTAAAATTAGTGATTGTGCTGAAGCACAAAGTAACCTGGAAAGAATACTCGAAAATGTTAAAAGACGCTTTAGAAGATGAAATTAACCTCAAGACATGCTGTCATCTATGTAATATTCATAGTCTATATACCTAAATAAGATAATAAGAACTTATGATAACTGTATCGCTAAGGTTTAATAAGAACAATATTGTGACCACGTATTGAAGAATATGATTCTATACAGGATAAACATTGATCGTTTTTCTATACATGGCTAAGATTCTTACTGCATTCTGGTTGGATATTTACAATTTTGAATATTGTGAATAAGCTGCAGAAAGAGCTTGAAAGGGTCTTATCTGTTCTTAGAAAATGATTAATGCTTTAAACAGAAGATCAAATGCCAATTTCCCCAGTAAACATGGATGGGTGATTCTAAAATGATCTGCTAGCACAGCCAACAGAAGATGTCACTCTGATTGGTGAATTAGAAGAAGCTTCAACAGGGAATAGCTGGCAATTGATAAATGCGGATGTCAAACACCTTAATCAATTCCACACATTCTCCTTGAAAGGACCAGAATCTTGTAATAAATTCATAAAAAGTTTAACCTGTAGGAAAATACAAGAAGATAGAAATCAGTGAAAGCTGCTATATACATAATAAGGTGGTTCCATCTTCAGAAATTTGGAGATGATCTTGCAAAAGCAACTTAACATCTTTATTTTCATCAAGCACAAAAAGATATTTTTTTTGATAACCAAGAAATCCATCTGGGACCCGCCCTTTGGACCAATCACAGTCTTCTAAACTCGGTGGATAATGGGCCCGCCCCTCTACCCTTCTCCACTTAAATACCGGGCTTCGCTTTGCATGGTGTGGGGCTTGAACCTGCGACCTAAGCCACAAATCCTCCACCTTTTGCCACTTGAGCTAGGCCTTGGGGGGACAAAAAGATATTACCTTAACGGATTTAGAGATTTTTGTATAACAATCTAAACTAAGCTACAGCTGGAGGATTTTGGAGGGGAAGAAACACAACAATAACAAACCTGTTCAGACCGATGGGAAGAGTCCATTAAGAAAGCCCATTAAGAAAGCCCATAGGGGCCTGTTGTCACTCTTTCATCTGATTGTTATATGACTAAGGGAAGAGAATAATTAATTATTTGTCCCAGAGAAAAGCATATTGACCATCATATTGTTACCCATCAACCTCAATAAAGTAGTATTTAATATTTTATTTCTAGACTCATATCCCTGATGGAGAGCTTTCACTGCCTTGGGATTGTCAGCAGACGACTTTTTATGTAGTCCCCAAGATGGTCACTTAGCATAATATAAGGTTACAAACTGGTTGGAATATCTGGAACCTTATGGCTTAAAAGGACAGGAAATTAAAGTGACACTTAGAATGTGCCTTCCAAGCTTCCTGGTATTCGATTGTGTAAAGAAGTCTTATACAGCTCTGTTGTTTCATTTTTAAAGCTCAATACAACCTTGTGATCTTGCATTTAATTAGGTTCTTCTGCTCATAATATAAGTTTTTCATTTTCTAATTTTCCTTTGAGGAAAGAAATATTCAAGAAAAAGGCAACAGTCATCCAAAAGGCTTTTCATTGGAAAGAATAATCACCTGAGCAGTTTCTCGTACCAACAAATCATCAATGATTCTTTTGAACTCCTCATCTAGAACATAGTGACAGCTGTAAGTAGTCACTGTCATATATCCCCTCACTAGAACATAGTGCACAAGTTGATGCAAGTTAGAAGATTCGTTTAAAAAATAACGTTTGATCTTGTTACTTCTTCCAGTATGATGATTGCTTTGAATTTGTGCTGATTTACTAATCTACCTTCCTGATAATTTCGAAAAAAATAAAAATGGTGTATCTGAGCTTTTGCCATTCCATAAACGGAGTCTCACAATACAATGAATTTTGAGCTTTTGCCAGATGGAACGAGAAGTCTATGAAGTCATTCACAAATTCCCTTCTTGTAATCATAACTATAGACTTCGGCTAAAAAGTAAAAAGAGCTATGAGTTGTTATGATGATGCAAATCAATAGCCTCAGGGGCATGTCCTGTAACCGTTGCAAGAGAATCGCTCTTTGACACTTATATTAAACCGTAGTACAAGAGACGATTCGCTCTAGCTACATTATTGAGCCCAAGAATTGAGAATAATAAGTTTTTCACTGCCCAAAATTGAATACCCGCATAGAATAATAAAACAGAAGTGTAAAATCGTATGGATATGATTCTCATTTTGTATATTGATGAGTTGGATCGTTTCTATATGGATTCCTTTCCCAAACTCTTCGAGATGTGTTTCCGAGTACTCCTTGATCATTTTGTCCAAGAAGAGGAGTTCCTCTAATTCTTTGAATTTTTCTAGAAGACCCTTTTCTTGAGATTCAAGAAAATTTCGGGTGGAGTTCAGTAACCGAGGGGGGGTTGAGAAGAAGACAATGAATGGAATGGATTCAACTTCTAATCATTTGCACTTTAAGCGTCATAATTTATCTAGAGTGCTTCTTGTATGCAAATCAATCAGTATGCCTAAAAACGTTAGATTGGGTGAGTGTGTGAAAGAATAGATATTAGCATCATTGATAATTAGTATTTTTTCTATTTTGGGATTTTTTATCATCATTAGGAGCATACATCTGATGATTTTGGTTATCCATGAAAATTAAATTTATGAAATTTTTTATTAATGACATTGGATATATTTTTAGCAGGTATTCTTCAAAGTTGTGAACTTTATGTGATTTGGGTGTTGTTTTGTTCATTTTGGGATGTTGAGTTTACTTAGTTTTGGCCGTGTTCTGATTCAATAACTGACCAGAAAAAAAGAAGAAGAGATAGCATATTAACCTAATCACACCACCAAATCCTTCTTGTTCTATATTTTTCCGCAGGTATTCTTCAAGCTGTGAGCGTTATGTGATTTGGGGGTTGTTTCAATGTTGTTTTGTTCATTTTGGCATGTGGAGTCTTACTGAGTATTGGTTGTGTACTGTAGTGGTAGTTGTTTCTTGTTATTGCTGATGTTGTTTTCATATCTTGGAAATTGCTAGGTTGTCAGTTATGCTTAATTTTATTCTTCGTTGTTGAAATTGGGTCTTTTGGTATTTTTGGTTTTTCTGTGAACAGAATTGTTTTCTCATTGGTTAAAGCTATGATCTTTATTGCTTTCTTTGAGCTGAGGGTCTATTGAAAACAACCTCTCTACCTTCCGGTAGGGGTACGGTCTGCGTACACTGTGTCATCCCCAGACCACACTTGTGGGACTATATACTGCGCATGTTGTTGTTGCTGATATCGGATTTAGGTAAAAAAAGACTACTTTGTCTATAAGAAAATGAAAAACGGAACTGATAGGGTCATTTTGATGTTCAATAACACTCTCATTTACAATTTTGTGTCCTATATCGAAGTGATATTTTTTTCTATGTAAATTATAACCTCACTTCTTCTTTTCAGATAAGTAGCTTGGCAAAATGTCAGGGCAAACCAACCGCTTGGTTGTCGTCCCCACAGTTACAATGCTTGGAGTTATTAAAGCTCGCCTTGTTGGAGCAACAAGAGGCCATGCTTTGCTGAAAAAGAAAAGTGATGCTTTGACTGTGCAGTTCCGTCAGATTTTAAAGAAAATAGTATCAACAAAGGAATCGATGGGAGATGTCATGAAAAATTCCTCATTTGCTCTGACAGAGGCAAAATATGCTGCTGGTGAGAACATCAAGCACGTTGTCCTTGAAAATGTCCAGACTGCTACTCTGAAAGTTCGATCACGGCAGGAAAATATTGCTGGGGTGAAGCTCCCCAAGTTTGAGCACTTTTCTGAAGGAGAGACCAAGAATGACCTGACTGGATTAGCTAGAGGTGGGCAACAGGTACAAGCCTGCCGTGCTGCTTACGTGAAATCTATTGAATTACTTGTTGAGCTTGCATCTTTGCAAACATCATTCTTGACTCTCGATGAGGCAATCAAGACAACAAATCGGAGGGTCAATGCGTTGGAGAATGTTGTGAAGCCTCGGTTGGAGAACACAGTTCTTTACATCAAGGGGGAACTTGATGAACTGGAAAGGGAGGACTTCTTCCGTTTGAAGAAGATACAAGGTTACAAGAAGAGGGAGGTAGAGAAACAGATGGCCGCTGCCAGGCTATATGCAGCGGAGAAGGCTGCTGAAGATATTTCTTTGAAGAGAGGTATTTCGCTTGGTTCAGCCCATAACTTACTGTCCCATCCTTCACAGAAAGATGAGGATATTATTTTCTAATGTGGAGGTCAGCTTTTATTAGTCACGTCTGTTGTCAAATATAGATGGATAATATTATGAGATGGAGAGATTTTTCCTGTTCAAATAAGAGCTCTGTGCATGTTTGTACTTAATGAACTCTACGGGGAGCTGCCTCATTGGTTAGTTTTGTGTGCTTTTTTCAATTTTTTGATTCAGTGACAGTCTTTTTTACCTGGAGAGCTGTTGGATGGAAATTTTATTTTTGAATATGTTGCATAAGCTTATCTGATATTTCCTGTCTCAAAATTGTGTCATGTATTTGATAATAATATTCTCTCCCTTCTTTACATCAACACTGCCCTCAAATATAGAAATAGTGAAAACAGCTTTCCTTCCAAGGATTTAGGTGGATGCACTTGCAGATCTTTTCTCTGTTATCTGGGAGATAAACTTGTTCCAAGTCTCGTAATTCTTTTTGTACGGGTATATTGAGGAAACGACGAACGATAAAATGTACAATAAATATGATGAGTCTTCTGCATTTATGCTGTTGACGGCAGTACAATCCTGTTTGACAAAGTTCCCTGTTTCTGGAAAAAAGAAAATATTAAATCTGCGGTACTGCTAATGATGTCTTGTTATTTCTTGAGAAAAACTTGCTCAGAGGATGGAAAAGTTGATTTCACCATACTTCTGGAAACTTGGTTCTTCTTATATCAAAAATCATGTGCATGAAAGCTCACCTGGTTTGTTGAGGGGTAAAGAAACCAAAGCTTATTTAAGTTGCCTGCCCGTTACAAGCATTAACGATTTCATTGATATCAAGTTTCTGCATTTGAAATCTCATTATTTTCAGTCATAATTACTACCATCAATGTAGTTTCCTTGTTTTACATCAACATGTGAATGGTTCTGTAATTACAAGAGCCTTAAGTCAGAATTGTATGATTTATGGCTATGGCACTGTGATGGCCAAGTATAAGTTGCAGCAATTCTGACTCGGCCTTCTCTCAACAATTTTGCACTTCAACTGAACCTAAAAACACAAAACTGCATAGGCGTTGTTTCCCCATACATTTCAAATATTTTCCACCTTATTTGAAATTTATAAAGTTGGAGTTGTGTTTGGTTATATTTTTTTGCAAATGAGAGAAGAGATCGAGTTGGAAAACATGTTTGGAGCAGTTTTCCAAATTTGAAATCCAACTCCAAATTAAATTTTGAAAATAAACTGAATAATTATTCTGAAAAAAGTGAATCCATTGAAACACATACTACTAAAATTGAAGTTAAACAAATACCCGGATGAAAATAGCAATCATTGTCATCCTTGACTGCAATGAAAATCCCATCCAAGATTGACAGTGGGTTTCCTCCATGACCACATTCAATAGAGGAAGTATATGAAGAAGATTAGAGAGATTTAGCACACTAGTGTGGTCGGAGCTTGGAGCTCGTTCAATCATCGGATTTTGCTTTCCTGCGAGCAGATCTAAAACTATGTTATTGCTTGCTTGTTGAGCCTAGCCGGATATGAAGTTGTGGCTGTTGTTTTCGAGCTTTGATTCTAGCCTGATTGTGTTGTTGGTTTGATCTGTTAGCGGTGCTTCAGTTGTTTTCCGATGGGGTTTTGGTCGGGTTTTTGTTGGTTGGTTGTTTGGAGGTCGGAGAACTGGTGGTCATTTGCTGGTTGTATTAGCTTGGGTTCTAGTGGGCTGAAGTGTGGTTTTACCACTGGATTTTGGCGTGGAGAGGGTGGTGTTTGAGAGTTGTTTCAGGT